TGGCATGGAAACTGTTTCATTATAAAATAATATGTAAACTATTGAGCTGTAATGATGTAAAGTACTTGATAGTTGTAAAAATAGAATGTTGCTTGATGTTTTTTTGGAAACTAATCAATTAATAGCTAATTACATTACAAGTGTAGTAAGAGCGTTTTTACATCACGCAGGTGAATGTTGTGCAACGAGCGGAAGCGAGTTGCATAATTCACCTAAGTGATGTAAACACGCTTTTGCGTAACGCGTAACGTACAAGATTTTACCTGACCCGACAATATATATGGGTTTACGTACAATATTTTTCATTATCCATTTCACTCATCTTCTAACAGAAACGTTTTTTACAAACAAAAGCTAGGTTAGGAAAATACTTCAAAGCATAACAATAACATTCAAGCGCACAGCTGATTTCTAGCGTTGAACGTCGTTGGCTCCATAGAGGTATATTTTTTTAAGTTAAGCACTCAATGTTATTTAAATGGGTTTCTTTACATCACCGAGTGAGTTTTTGATACTTTACATCACTCGAGAAGTAAGGAAGTTGTATACATCACGCGTGGGATAGGGAAGATTAACATGGCGGGTTAGGTAAAATAATTAATTCTCAAAAAGTGCAAATACTCAATAAAATGTAGTTAATGGTGGCATTTAAAGCTCTTCCTTGCTTGCTTTTTCCTTTTCTTTGTCAGGTATAGGTTTATTTTTTGCGAATATTTCCTATGTAAGGAAATTAAGTAATTTTATGTTTATTGTTTAACCAATTTAACTCTGAATAACTACACCATTTTTCTTTTGCGCTCTGTATACATATAATTACTATATTTCTACTCTTGCTTTGATATCAGCATAGGCTTCTGCACCCCAAATTCTTACAATTGATTACCAGTTTAATATAATAAACTAAAAATATGTGCAAACAAAAACAATGTAAAAATATAATTTCGTAAAAATATGTATTGGATGGTTTCCATAGAAACAGTAAAGTCAATTAAAAAGTTAAATATTAAATTTATGAATACTTTTCACAGCTAATTTTTGTTTACTAATTTTGTTGTCATGGTAAAGTACTGTATTGTTATGGACCAAAAACTGAAGAAACCGATTGCAACACCACAATCGATGTATCTTCAACTGCGGCAGTAAAGCATGATCCAGAATGGTCACTGTGCATCTACAATCTCGTTGTTTCGAAAGGTAACAAAGCAGTCCCATATAGGAGCCTTGTAGTACTCTATATCGCCTTGTAGTGGAGCCGACGCGCCGGACGACCTCTCGCGATCATATCACACCCGACACACATAAACTGCTCAAGGTCACTCGAGTTATGGTTCCATTCCCGGAACACTACATGAGCAAGACTGTCGCCTGGTTATCATTGTACATGTAGTGTGAAATTGTTGGACATCGGTTCAATTTTTAACTGACTGTTATTGTTAGAGTGTTGGAAGACTGCAGTAGAACGTGAATACAGTAGGAGGCTTGAGATGATAGCTGGAAGTAAGATAACTATTAAAGCTAAAAAATACATATATGATCTTATACATGATCTCAAAAGAGCATCTAGGCTAGAGAGCAAGGATCTTAGTGTTCATTAAACAAAGTTATTAAAGGCAATTCTCAGGCTAACAACTAGCGTACAATAGAAAAAGAGGATTTGTTAAGGATGGGATCGGGGTTTTTGTAGGCTGTAATGCAGGTGCGATGCTAAATAGCTTTACCACTATATGTGAGAATATCTGTTTAATTTGCGATCACTGACTAAAGAAAAACTCGAGAGAGTATCACAATGTAAGGTAGGATTCACACAAGGTTAGAAAGTTAAGTATTGAAGTTCAATTTTTCCTGATAATAATTTAAAATTTAATACTTTGTTTTTATCTTTGCTTCTAATATTGCTATTTATACACTTCCGTGCTTTGACTAAATGTCAACCATTGTAAACAGATCCTTGAAAAGTCCAATATGCAATCATGGTTTATGGTCACAACTTGATTAGCAGTTTATTGTAGAATAAATTTATTTTATTGCTGTTTTCTGAAATCTAATAAGTCGATTAACAGTGAAGCCTAGTGAGAAAGTGGGCACTAGGTGTTATACAATGCAGTTGTAAAACACCGCCGTTGTCTGTGACGTTTACCGACTATAAACACGCCGGGGTGTATCCTAGGCATTTACACAATCGTTCTTATACAGGGGGAGTACAAATGTTCTGTAAGTAAACATACTAACTCCCGGAAATGGTCCAATGGGTCAAGTTGAAATATCACTAGTTGTAAAATAAGGCAAAAATTAGGTACAGTGTGACTAGCTTCACCAATTCCACCTTATTTTACGACAAGAAGTCGTGATATTTCAGCCATTTTAATTCCATATTTTAGAATTTTATACTTATCAATCCGAGGAATCAAATAGTAGAATTAAACTCGTGTCAGTACTACGAGGTTAGTGCAGCCGAGAGTTTGTCAGAGTACAAATGTTTCTCTATTATTTCATCAACCCGTAGTGTTTCAGAGCCGTGTGTGTAGACGCAGGCCAGGAGTTGTCTCTGCGACACTTGTGTCAGTACTACGAGTTTTGTACAGCGGAGAGTTCGTCAGAGTACAAATGTTTCTCTATTATTTCATCAACCCGTAGTGTTTCAGAGCCGTGTGTGTAGACGCAGGCCAGGAGTTGTCTCTGCGATACTCGTGTCAGTACTACGAGTTTTGTACAGCGGAGAGTTCGTCAGAGTACAAATGTTTCTCTATTATTTCATCAACCCGTTGTGTTTCAGAGCCGTGTGTGTAGACGCAGGCCAGGAGTTGTCTCTGCGACACTTGTGTCAGCACTACGAGTTTTGTACAGCGGAGAGTTCGTCAGAGTACAAATGTTTCTCTATTATTTCATCAACCCGTAGTGTTTCAGAGCCGTGTGTGTAGACGCAGGCCGAGAGTTGTCTCTGCGATACTCGTGTCAGCACTACGAGTTTTGTACAGCGGAGAGTTCGTCAGAGTACAAATGTTTCTCTATTATTTCATCAACCCGTAGTGTTTCAGAGCCGTGTGTGTAGACGCAGGCCAGGAGTTGTCTCTGCGACACTTGTGTCAGTACTACGAGTTTTGTACAGCGGAGAGTTCGTCAGAGTACAAATGTTTCTCTATTATTTCATCAACCCGTAGTGTTTCAGAGCCGTGTGTGTAGACGCAGGCCAGGAGTTGTCTCTGCGATACTCGTGTCAGTACTACGAGTTTTGTACAGCGGAGAGTTCGTCAGAGTACAAATGTTTCTCTATTATTTCATCAACCCGTAGTGTTTCAGAGCCGTGTGTGTAGACGCAGGCCAGGAGTTGTCTCTGCGATACTCGTGTCAGTACTACGAGTTTTGTACAGCGGAGAGTTCGTCAGAGTACAAATGTTTCTCTATTATTTCATCAACCCGTAGTGTTTCAGAGCCGTGTGTGTAGACGCAGGCCAGGAGTTGTCTCTGCGATACTCGTGTCAGTACTACGAGTTTTGTACAGCGGAGAGTTCGTCAGAGTACAAATGTTTCTCTATTATTTCATCAACCCGTTGTGTTTCAGAGCCGTGTGTGTAGACGCAGGCCAGGAGTTGTCTCTGCGATACTCGTGTCAGTACTACGATGTTAATGCAGCTAAGAGTTCGTCAGAGTACAAATGTTTCTCTATTATTTCATCAACCCGTTATGTTTCAGAGCCGTGTGTGTCGACGCAGGCCAGGAGTTGTCTCTGCGATACTCGTGTCAGCACTACGAGGTTAGTGCAGCCGAGAGTTTGTCAGAGTACAAATGTTTCTCTATTATTTCATCAATTCGTTGTGTTTCAGAGCCGTGTGTGTCGACGCAGGCCAGGAGCTGTCTCTGCGATACTCGTGTCAGCACTACGAGGTTAGTGCAGCTAAGAGTTTGTCAGAGTACAAATGTTTCTCTATTATCTCATCAATCCGTTGTGTTTCAGAGCCGTGTGTGTAGACGCAGGCCAGGAGTTGTCTCTGCGATACTCCTGTCAGTACTACGAGGTTAGTGCAGCCGAGAGTTTGTCAGAGTACAAATGTTTCTCTATTATGTCATCAATCCGTTGTGTTTCAGAGCCGTGTGTGTAGACGCAGGCCAGGAGTTGTCTCTGCGATACTCGTGTCAGTACTACGAGGTTAGTGCAGCCGAGAGTTTGTCAGAGTACAAATGTTTCTCTATTATCTGATTAATCCGTTGTGTTCCAGAGCCGTGTGTGTAGACGCAGGCCAGGAGTTGTCTCTGCGATACTAGTGTCAGTACTACGAGGTTAGTGCAGCCGAGAGTTTGTCAGAGTACAAATGTTTCTCTATTATTTCATCAACCCGTTGTGTTTCAGAGCCGTGTGTGTAGACGCAGGCCAGGAGTTGTCTCTGCGATACTTGTGTCAGTACTACGAGGTTAGTTCTGCCGATAGTTTGACAGAGTACAAATGTTTCTCTATTATCTCATCAATCCGTTGTGTTTCAGAGCCGTGTGTGTAGACGCAGGCCAGGAGTTGTCTCTGCGATACTTGTGTCAGTACTACGAGGTTAGTGCTGCCGATAGTTTGACAGAGTACAAATGTTTCTCTATTATTTCATCAACCCGTTGTGTTTCAGAGCCGTGTGTGTAGACGCAGGCCAGGAGTTGTCTCTGCGATACTTGTGTCAGTACTACGAGGTTAGTGCTGCCGATAGTTTGACAGAGTACAAATGTTTCTCTATTATTTCATCAACCCGTTGTGTTTCAGAGCCGTGTGTGTAGACGCAGGCCAGGAGTTGTCTCTGCGATACTTGTGTCAGTACTACGAGGTTAGTTCTGCCGATAGTTTGACAGAGTACAAATGTTTCTCTATTATCTCATCAATCCGTTGTGTTTCAGAGCCGTGTGTGTAGACGCAGGCCAGGAGTTGTCTCTGCGATACTAGTGTCAGTACTACGAGGTTAGTGCTGCCGATAGTTTGACAGAGTACAAATGTTTCTCTATTATTTCATCAACCCGTTGTGTTTCAGAGCCGTGTGTGTAGACGCAGGCCAGGAGTTGTCTCTGCGATACTCGTGTCAGTACTACGAGGTTAGTGCTGCCGAGAGTTTCGCAGGAGTGTCCCTGGCCTTCCAGAGTCTTCTGCGAGAGGCCAGATCAGTTCAGTTACTGAGGGCGATGCCCATCCGCCGCAAGCTTGGAGTCAACTCTGTCTCTAAAGTCCTCGGCACCATCTTCGGCAAGAACAGTAACAAGCGAGATCGTAAGAAGAGGCCGTCTCTTAGTATATGAGAGACTTCTTCTCTGTTCCTACGCTCCTTTTACGTGTCCGAGTCCCCAGGTTCACCATTAACGCTAGGTCATCCCAAGTGATTATCATACTATTTATTATAAAACAAATGGTTGATTTAAAAGAGTGATTTTAAAATTATTAACTATTTAGAAGAGTGTAAAAACTGACATTCTGGTGGTGTTCTGTAAAAACTACATAATACCTATTATGTGAAATTGTAAATAGTAAAAATTAGGTTTTTAATGTTGAAAGTTGTTGTTATTCCGACTGTAAGAATATAAATTAATGTTGATTTGTTATTTGTTATTGTATACGTTGTGGTTGGATTCCAGTTTCCCACCTAGTAGCCTACTGTTTAAATGTTCTGTGTTTGCCAAATAGCAGGTCATCTTTAGCATTCACTCACAAAAATCAAAAATGTTGCCATATATTTTCAGATACGCCAATAATGATTTTGTATTATAGTATGTGTATTGTTGATGCTACTTGTTAGTAACCAATCGCAGAAAAAGAGTTGTTCTAATTAAATTATAATGGAGCGTGTTAGCCCTCCTCAGAATACAATTTTTTACGTTTTCTTGAGAGGTTTTTTCTAATAAATTAATAGCCTAATAACTTAAAACATTAAAATCAAAATTTCAAAAGAATTTGTATTAAAATAGTACTCGAGCGAAAAAAATAGCATCATAGTAATTTTTTATGCTAGGCTAAATTCACCTTACATAGTGTACTCTACAGTATAAATGTTCAAACATTTTTTTATTCGAATTTGTTGTTGAATAATGTTGAGTTAAGCGGTTTTGATTATGGGTTTGCAGTTTTGTGTAGCAGCATAGGTTGAATGTTGATGGAAAATAAAATATGATGTTCCTATTTTGTAAATAGTGTAAATAGTAAGCAGCGTGAATAAAAGCTTGATGCCTTATTGGAGCATTTTTAATGTTTATCCCACGTTTACTTCTCATATCTTTAGATTTGTAAACGTATGCAAAGATAGGTGTTCAAGGTAATGTTTGTGATTTATGAGTTTTTGACGAGGAGTAGCCAGCCTATCTAGATAGTCGTCGATCGAGATCAGATAAATCTGATAGGTGGCAATGTTGAGAAGGAACAATGGGCAAACAATAAGAAAAGTGGTCAGCACGAGGCTTATGAGAAAGTAAAAGTAGGCTAGATGAGGTCGCCGGTCCTTTCTCCGCTGGAGTCATCATTATGGAAACAATGCAGAGGAACTTATCAGGAGTTATTGGCATGATACGCCTACTGCGAGATACAGTGCTCGTGTGGTATAGCACTAAGCCGCTGAAGCGTACAGGCTTTGCGAGCAACTCAAACAACCTAGGTGATACTAAAGTAGACTTCTCATATAATATATGTATCTATTGTGAATAATTTGGTGTCCAAATAGAAAATATGTTTCTCTCACATCGTTTGCTAGAGTCAAAACTAAGTTTTCCCCACAACGTTTTCTACCATGGTAGTTGATGGAAACAAAAGATACCATACTGTGCAGTATATCATCCTAACAGTTTAATACATGCTAAAAACATTGGCGTATTCTGCAATGCAATTAACAACGGCACACTTTTGCTGTCACTCAGTTCACTCGTGATCAATAAATTATTTAAACTGCATAACGCTACAGCAGTACAAAGATATGTCTACTTCTATTAAAATTCAAAGATAAAACTCCACTATAGCATGTAGAAACTCATAATAATTAAGGATTCATTACGCAGTGAGAGGGCAAGAACTATAATAACTCAATGAGTCTTGCTTGTAAATCACATTCTTACAAGTGCACTTCACATCATTCATACTTCCACAAACCTCACTAATATAATTTTTATAGTCTTGGCTGTTTCAATTTAAACTGGCACACAGTACATTGTAAATCCCAAATACTTGTAAATCCACTGTTACACCGTATACTAAGGTAAATAGGACTAGTAACACTGACGGAAACACTTTGGACCGACCTAATTATAATTGGCGTTAATCGCTAATTACTTATATGGACTCTTACTTATAAGGTGATGAAAGTGCAGAGAGGGCTAGGCCAGCCGAGGTCTACAGGATGGGCCAGAGAAACCAACATCGCAGTATTCAGGCCGCTGGGGCAGTCACGAGCGAATTAAAACCTATGCCTAATGACACCAAGTAGTTACCTACCTGTAGTATACCGGACTACAACCTGCAGCCGGCAAGAATCTTAATTGCATTAGGCCTAGCAAAATCCCGTTAAAAGTTGTTCAGATTTAAGTTATTTTATAACTTATTGCAACTTTATGAAATACTAGCTGCTGTACCCGTGCTTCGCAACGGGAAGATGTACTATACCGCCTAATCCAAACACTAAATAAGTTAACAATCTTTACTCGTATATACGTCCCTGCCTCAGCTGCAAATGAAATGAACCACTAAATAAGTGGTTTAAATAAAAAAATTAAAATAAATAAAAAACAGCAAATTTATTCAAAAAGTTTTAACCTACACGTAATTGTCCTGCTGTTTACATAAAAATACAGGTTGTCCATAAAAGAAATGAAACATTTTAAAGGTCAATATGGATACCAAATAAAAGAGTATGTTTAATGTTTCATAAATGCTTGGACGATATTGTATTCCAAATTAATTTAACTGTAGGCACCACTCGTCAATGTTGTCACAGACTTCATTGCTGTTCAGTGTGTTTTAAACAACTAGACATGTTTATGTAGTGCAATGGCAACTCCACAGCAAAAGGCCCAGTGCGTTATATGGTTTGTGGAATCCTCGAACCTCGTTTCGACGATCCGTAGATTAGCAGGGAGGGGCCTATCCAATGGCCTCCTAGGAGTCCAGATATCACAACTCTGGACTTTTTCCTTTGGGGTGCAGTAAAAAATGACGTCTACTAGGTGCATATTCGGGATCTTAATCACCTCCGACAGAGAATAGTCGCCTGATACTAACCAAAACCTGGGAAGAGGTCAAATTTCGCTTTGATTTATGCCGGACCACTAATGGTGCTCATATCTAGTTGCGCTAAAAAACTTGAGAATTTTAGCTTTAAAATACATACAGGGTGTTTCAAAATTGTCTTGACATTTTTGTGGACTTTTTCCCTGGGCTAAGACAAATATAAAACACCATACAAGTATGGGTCTAAAGTGCCTAGATTTCTGTCTGTCGGTGTGTTTGGGATTTTTATAAATTATTTTATATCTTGAGCGTTTTTCAAGATATAGATTTAAAATTTGGTATGAATGTGTAGTTTTGAAAGTAAAAAGGGCTGTGAAAATTCCGTTCCAATATCTCAAGCCGTTTCAATATGGCGGCCATTTAAAATCTTTAATGACAAATTTCATGAAAACCGTAAATATTAAGAACATTTTGTACCAGACCAAAAGGATAGAGGAGTTTAATAAAAATCAAATGAGACCTTGTTTGTTAAAATCGGAAAAGAAATAACTGAGTTATCAGTTTTTTCGACATTCGGATACTATTAAATTATAGGACTACCATGTACCCAAGTATGGTAGTCCTATTAAATTGCGTATCCGAATGACCTTAATGCTATAATAGTCAGAAGACAATGTCACGACTGTTGCTATCGTTACCATCCACAGAGTACTGATCGAAGATGTACACAATTTAACCAATTCTTTTAAAGCCATTTATCAATTTAGAGATTGAAAATGATACGACTAGCACGAAAACGTTTGTTACGGTATCAAGGTAAGGCCTTTGTTAATATTATGACTTTATACAATATCATAGTATTACAACGACTTGTTCATGCGCATATCACATAAACAAACAATGTAAAAATGTTCATGTGGTGAGTGTTTAATAAGGTAACCGAACTTTTATCTTCTATCTCGACAAAATTACAAAAGCTCCTGTTCCCAAAATTATTAAATGTGCACAGTAAATTGTTTCTTCCCAACCTAATGGTAAATTGCAACTTTCAAACTAACTTAAAAGATTTCTTACTGCTTTTGTTTTGTAGATTATTTTAAAAGCTTATTCAATAAAACTGGGTTTTCAGTGATATAGAATTTTTTTTAATTAAAATAAAGATCATATAACTGTTGGTAGATAGTTATAAAAAATTAAATTCAATTCAAAACATATTTCTTACAATGAAAAAGAGATTTTTTGAAAAAACTAATTAGTTCCAATATAGTAACACCTCAAAGTAAAATAACACTTAAGTATATCATGTCATTTCTCTCCAAAAATTGAGAAACAAATATGACATGACTAGTATTACGGTTGTAGATATACCATTCTGGCAATCTTTACCAAACCACGAGAAGACTAAGATTAATATTAGGGAGAGAAGGATGCTACATAATTTACAACCTCTAAAATTTAAACTCACACGTTTTCAATTTAATGTCAGTTAAGAGGTTAGCTTTCATATTTATGTAACGTAGTGTAGTATTTATGAAATATGGACAAGAAAGTTTACCTCCCTTGGCGAGGGTTAGAGTTTTTGGATGATTTATACATTTTAATACCTCCCGCTTGTGTAATGCGCTTAAGAGAATCTTTAGGAACTAAAACATCAAACTATGTATTATACTTCACATAGATTTGAGTTATGTAGCTATTATGGAGTTTGTCAACATCTAAAATTAACTCTTTAGTTAAACTATAAAAATAGAACTAAACATAGAAACTAAAATAAGGCCAAAATAAGTTCCAAATACAACAGATTATTTACATATTTTTTACCTTGTCTTAGCTTACTTTGAAGCTTGTTTTTAAATTGTTCATAATGATAAGTAATGGTGCAGTTTTTTAGCGTATGCTTATTTTTAACCCGATTTGTTTGCAAAAAGGTCACTGCAAAGTCTAAGCCAAATGGTTTACCAGCATTCATCTAAACTATAACTAGCTATGACCATAATGGTCTGCTGTAAACTATATCAGTATAAAAAAACAATCTGGCTTAATATAATAATATAATATAATAATAATAATTAATATAATAATAAAAAAACAAAATATAAATAATCATGTCGGGATTATATGAAAGACTTAAATATTGTAGGAGTAATTGTTTTAAACTCATTTATAA